CACATTTCAATAAAACTTGGTACATGACACTACACAGACCTGATAGTTTTTAGGGTAATACCAGTACATATTAATTACCTAATTTGCATAATTAATTAATTTTCAGCTTTTGATATTTCAAGTAGTAATCATCACCTTTCAATGAAACTTGGTACATAGATGTCATATGACACTGCACAGACCTGATAGTTTTTAGGGTAATATCAGTACATAGTTACTTAAAGACTGTGCAGAGACCTGATTAGTTTGGGGGTAAATACTTGTGCATATTAATCACCTTATTAGCATAATTAGTTAATTTCAGCTTTTTGCCTGATAACTCAAGTACTGATCATCATATTTTAATGAGACTTGCTACATAGATCCTCTAGGACTATGCAGAGACCTGATTAGTTTTAGGGTAAATCATTGTGGATATGAATTACCCAATTTGCATAATTAGTTAATTTTTCCCATGAATGTTCCACTGATATATAAAGAACATTTTAATGAACCTAGGACTATGCAGAGACACAATTAGTTTTTGGTAAATATTTATGCTAATTAAAATAATTAATTAACACTGATATCTCAATTACTGATCATCACATTTGAATAAAATTTGGTGCATAAATGCTCTAGAACTATAGACAGGTCCGATTAATTTTGGGTTGAAATTTTTTCATATTAATTCTCTAATAATAATTCATAGTTTTTTTGTTCTAATCACATTTCAATAAAACTTGGTACATAGATATTACATTACGCAGGCCTTATTAGTTTTACACTCAAATCTCTTCATATCCGTTACCTGATTTGCATAATTAGTTTTCAGCTATTCCATCAATATCTCAAGTATAAGTAATTTTTAATGTGTCTTCAATACTCTCAGCACATGGGAGTTCTTTCTAAGCTTTCTTTGATTATTTTTGTAATCACTCAAGTTCATGTTCATGTATTCTAAATTTGTTGTCAGTATTGAAAATGTGATTCAACATAATTGCGTAGCTAAGACCCACCACTGTAGTTAGTTTATATTCTGTGGAATACTTTATTTTCGCTGGAATTAATTTTCGCTGAAAAGGCTTTTTAGGAGTTTTGTATGGAATTTATTTTCACTGATTTTTGATGAGCTTAATGTCAAATATAGGAAAAAA